TATGTAGGTATGTATGATCATGGCGAATAAATCATATCGTGTCCTCCTTTTTATTTCCGTCAATCCATCTTTCCATGCACGTCATTTCATTCCCGGCCTGCATTCTCGTAAGTGTGCGCAACCGCGTACTTTCAACGCTCTTCCTCCACACAAAGTCGTCCCAAAGCCGCTCAAGCACTCGGACTAAATTTACTCATCTTCCTCACTCTCGCCCCGTAGATAAAAAATAGCACAGGCGCAGGAATCATAACCACGCATGCGAAAGCCAACACGCTCGTTGCCCACGCAACTCCCAATCCATTAAACATATACTGCGCGAAGAGCGGGAACCCACCGCCCGCAAAACTTCGCAGGAAAGTATTCGCGGCAATTGCCGAATTGGCATGCCACATGTAGACATCGATGATGTAGTTTAAGCCCTGCAAGAAAATCATCAAGATACCCCATCCAATGAAGATACCCGAGATGACCTGGGGCACCCAGGTAATGTTGGGGTTGGAGGTCCAGGCGAACCAGAAGAGTCCGATGGGGAGGATCAAGGAACCGAGGATCATGGGGGGAAGACGTTCTTCGGGGATCACTTTGCCGTGTTTTTCGAGCTTGCGCGCGAAGCGGGTCTTGGTGACCCAAGAAATGGTTCCGGCGCCGAGGAGGACGCCAATGAGGATGCCGATGAAGGGGAGGGCGCTGAGGCCCGGGGCCCAGCCGCGCGATTGTTGGAAGGAGATGGGGTAGGCTTCGAAGAAGAGATAGAGGATGCCGTAGATGAGAGCCATGTAGAGGGTGATGAGGAGGAGAATCGGTTCTTGGAAGAGCATGATGAAGGGGCGGAGGAGATAGGTTTGTAAGATTGTGTGGGGGGTGAGTTTGAGCTGGAATTGAGGTTAGCAATGTGATCGGTTTTGGTGTGTAGTGGCATTTTGGGGAAAGAAGAAAGAGGTTAAGTGAAAAGGGTGAAAACAAGAGAAAAGATTACTCACTTCATCAGCTTTGCTATGAATTGCCCAGTTCTTTGTTTCGAATCTCAGTCTCGCGGCCCGCTGTTGGAGAATCTTTGGATGAGAAGACTCAGGCACAAAAATTAGACCTAGCGTTCCGAAACCAGCGGCAAGAATCATCGTGATCCAAGCCGTCCATCTCCAACCCAAATATGACTGTGTGATGAAGTTACCCCCAATTGGTCCCGCAATTGGACCGATAAAAGTTGCCGCTGAGAAAACGCAAACCGCAACACCTCGATCGACCGGGCCGAAGAAGTCTGCCAACGCTCCTCCGATAATCGCTAATGGGGCGGAAGCAAAGACTCCGCCGAAGAATCGACAAACCATGATAGTTTGGAGGTTTTGAGCTACAGCGACGGGGATTTGGAAAATGGCGAAACAGGCGTAACCGAAGAAGAGGGGAACTTTTCTGCCGAAGAGTTCGGATCCCGGTCCCCATATCTAAGTTGTGTTAGTTCTATCATCTCAAACCAACCGTTTCATATTGGAAGACAGAGAAGTCAGAGAAAGTATAGAACATACCAAAGGACCAACACCAAAACCCAGCACAAACAACGACGTCCCTAAAACAGCAACTTCTTCTGACACCCCATATAACTCTGCAACTACAATCGTAGCTGTACTGAAAACACTCGACGCGAAGGTAACGACAAAAGTCATTAAGCCCAAGATGACAGTTATGAACCATTTCTTTTTCGTACCCCAATTCATCGGGTTATCAGGATCATCCGGTCCATCCCAGGTTACCAGATTCGGATCATGTTCTTCCTTCTCCCTTTCCAATCTCAACGCATCTTCCTTTTCTTTCTCGCCTTGTGCTTCCACGTCTACATCATCCTTTGCCAACGTCGTCGTTTGACTGCTTCCTAGCACTTCTCCATCGATGCCCTGTCCGGGAAAGGGCTCCGTATCGATACTATCGCTATCGTTCCACTTCCCCTCATTCACATTCCCATGCTCCTTTGACGTTCTACCGGTATCCATTCTTGAATTCGGGATAAATATGTCTGCCTCGGTGTCCGAATTCGTGCCGACAGTCTTGTTTAAATGATCCCGATCAATATCCGTTCCTAAATTTGATCTAGATATATCTTCAAACCCTGTACTAGACTCAATCCTCGTGCTGCGATGCTCCTCCATTTCAAAAAGGGGATCTCTCGCGCCCGGGGGCAAGCAGATCTATTTATTATTTATGGGAGTCTTGAAGAAAGCGGGTTTGCGGGTCTTGGCTGAGGTCTACAAGGGATGTGCATAGAAATATGGATTACTCGTATGTCCTGCAACTTCTAAGATTCTTATCACAGAAGATCGGAATGTGGATACCATGTAAAGAAAGCCCTGTAAACTTTAGTTCTCGAAGGATTTAACGGTCGTTCGGTCTTATGTTTGAGCAACTGTGTGAATGGAAGTTGTATGTACGAGTAGAGAGCTGTGAGAAATCGAACTTGGGGGATATGTACGATGAAATTATAAAATTATATATACAATGCTTAAAACCCTTTAAAGCACTACGCAAATTTTAACCATAGATTGCTTGTTCTATCCCCACAGTGATGATGAAAAAGTCCTCGAAAAGTAATCATATATTAGTAAACACGGAAATAAAAGGACAATTCGCGGGCCCGAACTTGCTTATTTGCTTGGAAATCGTTGTCTCAAGGGCGCGTCCATGGAGATATCGCACATATCACCCGCCGATATATGAAGTAGACCGAATATAAGAGCCGATTGATAAACGGAATTTGCAGACCCAGTATTCCTAACAGCGGGTATGCAAGGCGGTAAGGAAACCCGACTTGGGAATCAACAACGGAAGGTTGGAAGCCACGAATGTGGTAGGAGCCGCAAATTCTTCGTGTCCATAAGGATGACATTTTGAGGATTGTCATGGCTATGCCCTGTCAAGGGTGGGGAGGGTGGACCTTTTTCACTAGGGATCTCTTCATCGTTGAGATGCCGTTACCCGTGCACGCCTTTAACAAAACAGACACTAGACAGGCAGCGGAACGATCGGCTGACGGGATAACGGTTGAGAACTTGAGATGAACGCACAACTCTGGCGTGATCTCTATACACAGATTTTATGGGACCTGAGTACTAATCAACACTTGTTGGGCACACACCAAAACGCCATTTCCTTGTCAACCACAGTAATTCATGATTATTCTTGTAGTGACTTTAGAAAATTTTGTATGTTCGTAACAATTTCCGGTACCATTATTGTCAATATCAACTTGTAGTATTGGCATGAGAGAATAGTAGTATTCGGAGAATAACCCCTTTTTACCCTGCAATGCAAGTCGGGGACTTAAGCGCAGCTCTAGCGCCCCATGTACAAAGGAGATGATTTTAAAAATAAAGCAAGCTTTTCTTCTCCACCAACATGTATGCCACTGTATGGTAGGTATCCATAGGAATCACGGTGTGAAACAAAAAGTTTTTTTCTTTTGTCAATTGTAGCAAAGTGTTGCAAGTTGGTCGCGGAAAGGTCAGGCTTGCTTCGCTTTGTCTCGGACGAAAAATGCGGCATGCCTACCTCTAGGTAACAGGTATTCGGCACTTTTGTCGGAAGATTGGCGGATCTCAAGTCGATGGTAATTAGTAATTTGTGCCATGCAGTAAGATTTAGAATTTCCCAATTGAAGAATTTCGATGTTGGAAGTTGGAACAGAGATGCGAATACAAGGATGGTTTGACCTGTCAATCGATATGGCAATTGAAGCAGGTGTTATCGTTCGAGTAGAAGCAAAAGTCCGAGCCCATAAAATGTAGTCTTATTGAAATGGCATAGAGAAGGTAATCAACCAATATGGAAGTAAAAAATTAACTCCCGTGAGGGCTATGCACATCACAGCACGGTTTTTATCGTGCGTGCACGTAAAAACAACGATCAAGGATATGCAATTCTTGAGTGGATTTTACCAAGTGGACGTCAGTGAACCTAATCGATTGTTTTAAAGTAGACCCGCGTTTTCAATTTCACCAAAGTGACGAGACATTATTTAGACAATTTCAGAAACGACTCCGAAAGAAATCTGTATCAATAACTCGATGCCATCGCCACTTTTGTGATATTGAGGATCTAAATCTCAAAAACGATCGAGTCTGATTTTCCTCTTGCTCTACATGCCTTTTTCCTGAATTGGAGAAGTCCTAAGCTGAAACGATTTCCTTAGTGAACCTGTTCTGTCGTCGTATCTGCAATGGTTGCTTTGGAAGAAGAAGTGTCTGCTTTCGCGGTTGCAAGTATTTATCCGCTATATTAACAGATGAGAGCTTTTCCAGGGAGTCATCGAAATCGCATAAGTATGCCAGTTTAGAGGATCAGGAGCGGAGGGTTGTGCTACAGTCTATGGATGTTGAGATTTGGGATCGAGGTACTTGACTTGAATGAGCACAACAAAGTAGAAAAAGATGGATATTCCATATGCGACTGGAGTTTTGCAAACTTGGGCATCGTTGTGGTATTAGGATTAACCTTTGCAGGTAAGTTATTGCTCCTTCTGGATAGAACGGATACCGAGTAGTGCATGATAATCTTGGCTCGTTACTATCTTGGCACTTAAATGGGAGATATTGGAATCGTGGAAATAATTGGCATGCTCTTTGTGAAGGAAGTTGGCGTAATTCGAACGAGATCGAAGGACCCGGATCTAGGTATGTTCAATCAAGCTCCAGCCCCGCTTTCTTGTTGATATAGAGCGCGACCAAGATGTTTGGGTATCAAAGACCGGTGTACGGTTGTCTGAGAGTGAGTACTCTAGAGATGGAGATACGAGAATATGTGTGATTTGTGGGCGAGCTCTAGCGGGTATGTACAGTACGCAAAATGTCCCATCCTGTCGCGTCACTATCTGGGATGACACCCTGGTGTGTTGCGGCGAAGATATATGGCAGTTTGAGGCTGTCAATCACGCACGGCTCATGCTATTGGTGAGAGCGCATATGCCTTCCATTTTTGCGTCGTTACGACGCTTCCTCGGTATTTCAGGATAAAAGATGTTCATGAACGAGTGGCTCATTCGACGAAAGAAAGGCAACGGACCGATTGAAGCTGAAATGCACTTGCTGACAAAAGACCTTACAAAGAATATATATCACCCTGCCGGTGAACAAACGCTATGCAGAAGGATATTTGTTATGCCATTGGCGACCAAGATGAAGATATCGACCAAGGATATATCTCTGCGGGGAAGATGTAAGATCAAGCCAGAAGCCGATGATTAGGTAAGTGACGAATCAAACAACAAGCAGCATCCAATACTTCGGATGGCTATGAAGAAGGATGGGGAGGTATATCTGCACCATGGTCCAATGAAAAATCAGCTGGAGCACCATCCGCAGCATGGCAGTCATCGCTCTGGGCCCAAGAATCCGATAGACCGATTAGAAATTTCTCAATCCCAGAAATAAGAGTTTCCATCTCGTGTCTTGACCTCTTCGGTACCATTTACGACGCACAGCAACCTTGGAAAGATTTGAGTTGATCGATATAGGTAACCGGTTAGGTGGTGGCACGAGGAAGTTTGTGGGGAGATATTGTGGTACACGAAAAGATGATGAGATAGACATCTAACCTTTATAGCAATCTGGTCCTGTCCTTGGAGAATCCAGATTTCCAAATATAATCTTCTTTCCGCCTCAGGTGTAAATAACGTGAGCCTGGCGCGAATAAATGCCTGAGTGATAGATAATAAATATTGAATAGGAAATGAAAAGTAAAAAAGTAAAAAGAACCTTAACAAAACAATCAATAAGCAAACCAAGTCTACCTCTCAATTACTCAAGCTTCAATTCAAGTGCAATTTTCTCCAACGCAAAATTTCATGAATGTACACTCGTACCGGCGGCGGATATGGATATACCTCAACACGGTGAAGCTGCAAGCCAGTCACCGAGATTTCGAACCTTCTCTGGACATTCGAACGAGGCTGCGCATCTAAGCAAAAAGAAAAAGAGAGAAAAAAAGCCACCTCTGGCCCCCGCAGCAAGCCCTACTACAGGGCTGCATAATGTGACGCCAATGTCAGAATATCTGTTGCACCTAGCAATACCGTTCACCGATCAAGATAAGCATCGCTAAACACATAGAATTCATCTCAATACTATTGTAGCCCCTGGATGCTCAATAGTTGAGGACTTTGGCCCCCAACGGAAATATGATATATCGGTGTACAGAGGAACTCTGATTCTCTTGGCGGGTGTTGTATGGAGATGACGAAGGCAGTATTTCCCCCCCTCTTCTTCGCAAGTAAGTCAATGGCTAGCCTTATTAGTAGAGATTCATCTCGTCTCACCTTTTTTGCGGATTGGGGTGAATGACGTATCCGGATGATCTTTTTATATATTTATCTGTTTTGTTCTATGGTTTTGGTTGGGAGGCAAGATTGGAAAGTTTTCGCGAATGTGAGCATGATGTCGACCTTGTTTCTTAATATGTCTACACAAGCTCAGGCGCAACATTGCAAGGAGTACATGCAGCCTGTCCGCATCAATATCCAAGCTACATTGGTCCTTCCGAAATATATCGTCGAACTATTCAAAAAGAAACTGACAACGAGTGATGAGGGTGGTTCTGGAGTTAAGTAAGTTCCTTTTTTCCTTCATATTCCCCTTCTGCTTTTCTTCTCCCCCCTGGACTTTTCTTCCTCTTTACAATCACTTGGGACGTCCTTCAATCTCCCATATCAGCCAGGGCGTCAGGATGTTGAAAATAGTCTTCAAGAGCGCACTTCCAGCGGTGCATCTGTTCTAAGCTCATTAGACATTCGAGCATTGGACATCACTGTCAGGGGAATCCTGTTCCAATGGCTCCAATCACATGATTGTTTAGATTATCCTCAGCACCTTACATCGAGGAAACGTTGCTCTCCGCTTGTCAATGGAATGTCCCTAAATTAGTCACAGTGGTGTATAAAGACTAATCATAAAGAAGTCGACAGAAAATCAGGCAAAAGCGTTTCCGAGGCATGAGCTACAGATCAAGCAGCTCAATTATTCTACGCGCAGGATGCTCTATTACGTTATTGGCCCTCTACAATTGTTACCTGCTTTTGATCGCCCTGATTGTCAGACATTTTGCTAAAGAGCCCAGTAGAACTGCCTTTGGTATTTCACGCCGGCCTTGTTTTCGTCCCGGAACAGGCTTTGGCCGCCGTGAGCATCTATTCGGTGATGGATGGTTTCTTGAGTGGCCAGGAGGTCAACGCCCTCTTAATTCGACATGGCCATGGTCCGGAGTGAAACTTTCAATCTTGGTATTGTGGGGTGTATGCTGGATGTTTTATATGCGAATGCAGTGTTGGCAACAAGCACAACCTCATACTTCGCATAGCCATAGCCATCCGCAGACATCTTTGCGCAAGGCTTCCAGACCCTCAGCGTTTCATTTGTCTCCAACAGCGAAGAATTATCTACCATTAGGTAAGCAGTGTGTATTTCCTTACTCTGTTTAAAGAAAAGGCCAAGGATGATTCGTTGTTACTGGGTACAACTTTTCCCTCCCCCCAAGGAAGCCATCAGGTTCGCGAAGATGACAACATAGAATATTTTGAGGCAACACGAACCAATACAAGGCCTTCTCCTACAGTGCCCGTCTAGGATGATTCATGATATGTACGGTTCTATTCAAAACATATCTAAAGTGTTGTTTTTGTTGGTGCGATTTTCGCGATCCAAAGGTACACATCTGGATGGGTATTGTTGTTATTCAATAGGCCCAGGATTCACTTTCTTCAAGATTTTCCCAGAGCACCAAGTAGAAATTATCAATGAAAAGTCCAAACACCTGTTCCGAGGAAACTACTGGTTATTCATTTATTTGTTTTGAATAACAAAAAAAAACTTATCAAGGAGGATTTAATTCGACAGTGGTCGCTACCTACCTACCTACCTAGGCAGTATTCTTTTTACCAGATGATTGACAAGGCACACCAGAATAATCAACAACAATTGAGTTTTGGAGCCGTGAAAACTTCAATATCGAGGTCATTCCTACCGTATTGGAAATTTTGATACCAGGAAATTCGATACCAAAGCCAGAGGATTGGAGAGTCGAATTTCAGTGTTTTCTTTTACTACGGTACTATTTACTATTAGACCCAAATTCAAATTTCTAACGATTTTTTTCTTACAGATCAACAACAAGCAGGATCAGTCATCAAACAAGAGCAAGAACCATATAATCCATTTATCTTCGGTCAATATCAGGACAATCACAGCAACCATACCCAGAGCAACCATCTACAACGCCCAAGTGACTCCAACTGGCCTCTATTGTTTGATCCGCATTTAAACAATACAAGGATTTGCAACCACAATACCGAAAATCAAGGAACATTTCAGCCAATACCAAAGTCGGATCAGATCTGGTACCCTACTCGAGAATACGCATACACACAGGCAGCTGCGCCGAGAACACAGCAAGGTGAGTCACGATTTAGATATTGTTTGTTTCGTACATACATCCGGCCTCTCAGCACGCTACCACCCCTGGTATGCCTGGCATACGATTATCCAGTCATCAAAAGCTAGGGATTCAAAGCATGTGACTGACGAATATGTTTTGTATGTAGTACTCTTAGCCATGTCGAACACGCCGGAGAGACAGCATAGACAATCAAAGTCGCCTGTTCCTCCGCAAGGCTCTGATAACAAAGAAGGAATAACCGACAGCGACAATATTACGAGTCATAACTTAAATCCGGATCATGACACCAATGGACTCGTGCCTACATTGCCTGCTGTGCCTGGAGTTTCAAAGTCTCAGACAGATATAACAACCGTTGGTGCCCCCAGTTTAGTAGCTGAAGGCCGCGAATCTGAGAACCATCCAAAGGAAAAGAATGGAGGTGGTGATGAAAAAAATGGATTACTAAGCGTGGCTGGTACTTCGCCACATCACTTTAGCGCACAAGGCAAACATCAATTTGCAGCCTCTCAAGCTCCAGGATACCAGGCATTGCATTATCAAGAATCCAATAGTCAACCTGAAAACCACCAAGCCGGACTGTACGAGCGTGGCAACCATCTCCCCTACGAATATCCGCTAAATATACATCCCCCTCCTAGTCGCGATAATACATACTTTCCTGAAGACTACGACCATAACCCAGATTCAGACTTCTTTCAATATCAGGATAACTCCCGCCCAAACAACAATATGAGTTTAAGCTACGAGTCCAGATCATTTATGACTGATACACAGTACCCGATGCAAATGGCGCACGAAACGCAGGAACAGGACGAGTTCAAGCCGCACGATGAGCATAATTACCCAAGTCCGCCGCCTCCAATGTCCGAGAACCCTTATACCACACAACCTATGACTGAAACTCCAGACCACCCATCGTTGGAACTACCAGAATTACCAAAAGACGAAGAAGAGGCGCCGTCACCCGGACGATCAAAGCCAGTACCAAAACCTGACAGGGAGATTACAAAAGACGCAAATGGGAGATTCTACTGTACATGGCCAGGATGTACTGAAGAGGTCAAAGATTTTAATAGAAAATGCGAGTGGAGGTAAGTACAGTCTTCTAACTTCTGTTCGTTTTTATCATTGATGTCTTTACAGCAAACACATGGACAAACACGATCGTCCTTACAGATGCAAGGAACCAGGCTGCGAAAAGCTTCCTGGATTTACATACTCTGGAGGACTCCTTCGACACGAAAGAGAAGTGCATGGAAAACACGGCGGGCCTAAAAAGCAACTCAACTGTCCTCATCCCAACTGTAAACGTCACACTGGAAAAGGATTCTCCCGTCAAGAAAACCTTAACGAACATCTCAGACGCGTGCATACAGCAGATACAGGAATGACACAAATTTCTCAAATGAACATGGATGAAACGGAAGAAGATGCCAGCCAAGCAATTATAACAGGCATGAAAAGAAAACGCGGAAATAGCAAGGGAGACGTTAGTGAACTAGAAAGTCTTCGCGAGGAAATCAAGAAGATGAAGGCCGAAAATGATGAGCTCAAGAGACAATCACAAGCCCAACAAGCACAAACTGCAGAAGTTATGCGCCAACTGGTTGAACTTCAAAATTTAGCAACGCTGCAGCATCCACGGATGAATGCACCGCAGGCTACTATGTAAACGCGTGAGAGGGATGAGTTGAGTCGAGATGTCGGATGAAATGAAAACATAACAGATGTTCTTTGATACGCATGGAAATAATTTCCTTTCTCTACTTTTTCTAGGACGGACATTTGCTTGCATGGTTTGGAGGGGAGCATTTGGGGGAGTTTAATGGATGTAGTCCTGGCACTTATTTTGGCGTTTTTATGAGATTTGTTACCTGGTGAGGACGAACGGACGAATTTTTCCTTTTTACTCTGCTATTGGGAGCGGATTTCGATTCAAATTCGGCAGCGACAGTCACTCTCGTACTCATAAATTTGTTATATATAAGCTTGTATTACTATACCGAGAGGGAAATAGCACTATAGATGAAAGATTGACTCATTTTTGCTTCATTTTTGCGTATGATGATATACCTATTCTTTCTTTGCCAAACTCGTTTCCCCTTTTTTTTAAACGAAACGAGAGAACGAGAGTGACGTCTTTTTCAAGGTTAACCTAGAATGATTGTAGATTCAATTGATGGAAGAAGAGCCTGAGGTTCTCTTCTGTGCTGGGGAAAAGTTGAGGAGTGGATGTCTGAGGTATCGATATATTTCGAGATCTTCACGATGCGACGCACGCTTTTTTTTTTCTTTCTTTCTTTTTTTCTTTTCTCATCCGCCACTACCGGGATGGGAAGAGGATAAAGCCACTTGGAGTTGCTTCTGAGTGAAGCTGGAGATTTGGGAGTCAAAGTCAAGGTTCCCTTTTTTGGGTAAGGCTTTGGTTTTTGATTGTAGATGAGGTTAATTGGTTGGGGATTGGGAAGGTAGGTAAGAATAGGTAGGTAGGTTGGTTCTAGGAGTGCGGAAACCCCGATTGCGGGATGGTTCCTGGTGTTCTTGGGGGTAAGGTTCGTTTTACCTTAGTGGGTAGGCAGGGATTTATCGATGATCATATCATAGGTAGGTGAGGATTCGATTGCATTGCTTTTTCTGGGCGTGGGCTTGGGGAACTCGTGGGATTTGGGTTTTGAGAGTTAGGGTTGTGGTGTGGTGTGGTGGTGTGAGGATTGGTGGTGTGAGGTGAGGTGAGGTAAGGTGGGATGAGATGAGATGAGAGGGGATGAGATGAGATAGGACGGGATGAGATGCGATATATATGCATATGATATTACAACGAGCAGTAATTGTTATCAAACTACAAATATCAATTATCAGCTATCAAGTATTAAGTAAGTCGGGTATCCTATTTTCGGGCCACCCCCCTTTTAGACCACTTTTCAATTATTTTTTATATTAAAAATAAAATTTTTTATTTTTTTATTTATAGATAGAATTTATTGAAAATTTATATATATATAATTTAAATCGATTTAAGTTTATTCTGAAATTTTTAAATTTTTAGGATTTTTTTATATTGAAATCTAGAGCTTTAAAATATCGATTTTTTAATTTGTATGGGAATCCTATATAAATTTAGAAATTTTATAAAATCTTTAATAACTTTATAATAAAAATTGCTAAAAATAAACTATAAAATTTTATTATAAATTTATAGTATATTTAATATAAGAGATTCAGAAAAAATGAAAAATTTCTTATAAATAAATATTTATAAGGGTATCCTCAAAATAACAGGGATTATTTATACTACTCTAAACTTGTAACGTCTTGCCTTAAAAGAACTACAAGAGCAGAGTACAATTTGTCCTTAGAAAAACTACAAGAATAGAGTACAATTTGTCCTTAAAATCTATAACTACAAAATCAAAAGCAAAGTATTTATCAAGTATACCTATATATCAACTATATACATATAATCATATATACACGTATACACATATAAGCAATCACAACTACAATTGGATACTAATCCGTGATACTACCCCCCCCTCCAAAAAAGCTTGCCCTCAAGCTTTATAATTATCTGTTTTAATTATCAAATCAACAATCTCGAAATAACATTATTATTGTTTGATTAAAATAATATAATAAACAAATACATATATAGATTTTTCTTTTTCGCAATAAAAAGGCATATACAAAACAAAGGAAACCATCCTATAGTTTAACAATTGATCGAATCCTATAAAGCATATAAATCAATTGAATCCCCCTTCTCTTTCAAATTTTCTTTAATCAATTAACTCTTTTATATCTATTAATCAATATACCTTCAATCTTAAAAAAAAAATGTAGTAACAAGAGCAAGCTATTATTAGTACAGATTTAGCAATAGGAAAAACATACATACAGCAATAAATTGTTTATAGTTTTTTCTATATTTATTTTACTGATTTGTTTTTTTATTTAGCTTACAAAAAAGAAAACAACTGTTTTTTTTATTATACAAAACAAACGATTTGTCGAGGAGGAAGAATCCCTCCGTAGAAATAATCGTAACTCTAATAAAGCAGATAATAAATTAGATCCTAATAAAGAATGTAAGTAAGGTTTTTTATTTATTCGTTTTTGGCATATAATCGACTTGTCTAATAAGTACGATTATAATTGCTGAAAATAATACCCTCAAAGGTAAAATCAATCTTTGATTTGCTTATTGAATATATCCGTTTCATTATATTCCTAGATAGAATTCAAAAAAAGAATATAATCCTTTAATTAATTATATTAATAATTATAAAAAAAAGTTTACTAATAAATTGATTATAGTAATATATTATTTTAATAATATCGAAAATAATGAATAGAAGATTATTAAAAAGGAGATTATAAAGATCTTATATCAAAATCAATCTAATTGTAATTTTAATATACTTTGTTATAGAAGTATTAGTTTTATTGATATTAATAAGCTAAAATCTCTAAGTAAGAGATTATCAAAAAAGATGGTGTTATAACAGGAACAATATGTTTAGGAGGATAACTGGGTTTGTATGGGCTGTATACATAATTATATTTCTGGTAAAAGAAATAGTGTATGTTATTGAATTTCTAGTTAATCATTTGGTTAAACTTATTATTTGTTTTATTTCATTAATAAGTATAAATATAAGTGTTTACTTTTTAGGGAGATTTGTAAGATGTTTCTTTAGTATTGAATAGCTATTACTGAATATGGTAATATAATAAAAGTAAATTATAACTTTATCAATTTTTAATAAAATTAACCCTTTTTTGATAATTTGATTTATAAAAAGAATTAAGGAATTACATTTCGAAAGAAATGCTTTCTATTATTCTTGTTTAGAAGGATATAGAGTATTGCATAACCGAAGTTATAGAATAAGGAAATGAATTGAAGTAATAATATCAATTTGTTATAATACAAATAAAAGCAGAGTTTTTGATAACTTATAAGTAATTGCGGGTGATTAAGCACAAGCTTGATCTTGTTGTTATACATATTATAATTAAAAGTTGTTTTGTCTTTCGGCTTGTGATTATCCTGTATATTCTTATTATTATTGTTAACTGAAAACTCGACTAGTATTTTAATTTAAACTATTTAATTTTTGCTTTTATATTTTATCTAATTATAATTATTAATATCTGTAAGGGTTTCCTCTTTAGCTTATTTTAAAACTGTCAAGGTAGGGAAAAAGATATTCTTTATTATATTATTTTAATAATTTAGTTTTTATTCAATTACTTTTTTATTACTTATAAGATTATGATTTCTTTATTACTTTGATATGTAAAAAAAGTTTTTTCGATTTTTCTTATTCATATATTAATTATTATTTATAAAATTATAATTATCCTTTTTACTTTTGTAAAGGCAAATTCATTTGGATAGATATATAAAAGGTTCTGGTAGAAAGGGATTTCGCAAATAGAAATTGCAAAGGAAATGTGAAGTAGTTTTAAGGTTAAAAATAGGGTATTAGATAAGATTATTATTAGCATTTAGCCACAATATTTTATATTTGAGCTATCAGTATACTTTCTTGATAGCTAGAACATGTTTTACTTCTTATTTAATATTACCAGTAATATTTATTGAAAATAATAATTCGATAATTTATTCAGGAAATAAATCATTTGTTGTTTTATAGAATTTGCTAAATAAAAACACAGAATAAATTTTTATAATAAATAATAAATCCAATTGGAAGGAATCTCCAGCCCAATTAATAATCTTGAATCTATTCTGAATTGGATAATTCAGTTTTTTTGAAGATTGTTGTATCAGAAAATCCTTTATACTAAATTATATATAATCTCTCATATCAAAGTTAATTGAATAGTAATATAAATTAGCTAATCGAGATATTTTTTCTTATATATATAAGATATTCTCTTTTATTCAATTGAATATTAATTTATTATATTTAATATATTCTTTAATATTAATTATATTCAAATTGTTAACAGGTATAATAGAATCAAATTTTCAATCCTAGGGATTACAGGATAGGTAGCTATATAGAGTTTTATATAAGAATTAACCACCTAATAATTTGTAAGGAAGTATAAGCTGAGTGTAATTTATTATTAATAGGAATTTAGATTAATTGTTTTAATAATAGTTTATAAAAGGGTATAAGTATTATTAGAGATATTGATTATAAATCTCAATCTAATCATTAGTTTGCAGATAATGAGCAATTAATTGTTTGACTTATATTCTTAAGATATTATTGAATTCTTACCAGAAAGTTAATATAAATTGAGAATTACAATCAAAGACTATAAACTCTAAAACACCATAGTATCTATATACATAATATAAATACAAACAGACCTGATCTCTTAAATCGATTGATTTATAATAGAATATCAAAATAGCCTATTTGATTAATTAGTTAATAATAATGAATATATTATTATAACCATATTTATCTTTATTGAAGCTATAATAATTCATAATAATATATTGCTATACCCTTATAAAAACAAAAAGCAAATAAAATAAACTAAAGATATAATCTTTAGAAACAGAACTATACTTATATTTATAACAATTCCATATATATTAATCGATTATAAAAATTATATTCTTTTAATAATATTATTTAGTCAAAAGGGTATAGATCTTTTTCATATTAGGATATATAATAAAAACTG